GACCCCTCTTTCCACAGAGACTGAGGTCTAGACAGGACCTTTGTCTGCTGAAAACAGTTAGAGGAAATGAAAATACTTACTCGACTTTGGCACAGACGATCCCCACAGTGGTCTGGACCTTCCAAAGTCAGTCATCAATCTACTAATAAATATTTATTAAGAACTGACTATGGGGCTTCCCTGATGGTGCAGTGGTTAAGAATCCACCTGCCAATGCAGGGGACACGGGTTCGATCTCTGGTCCGGGAAGATCCCACATGCCACGGGAGCAAGTAAGCCCCTGCGCCACAGCTACTGAGCCTGCGCTCTGGAGCCCGCGAGCCACAACTACTGAAGCCTGCACGCCTAGAGCCCGTGCCCTGCAACAAGAGAAGCTACCGCAATGAGAAGCCCGTGCACCGCAACCAAGGGTAGCCCCCCACTCGTCGCAACTAGAGAAAGCCCAAGTGCAGCAACGAAGGCCCAATGCAAACATAAATAAATAAATAAATAAAAGAAACATGACCCCCAAAAAGAGAATTTTTTTTAAAAAAAGAATGTACTATGTTCCCAAGTTGATGGGGAAACAACAGCTTTTAAGGCTCTCCTCTGACTGTAATGGCCTTATATCTCCTTCCAGCTGAGGAAACAGAACTACCAGAGGGGAGAGGGAGAGCTGATAGGAAATGATTGCCTGGTGTTGCAACAAGTGTCCAAGAAAGGGAGAGATCAGAGAGCGTTGGCAGTGTTTTTAAAAAAAACAAAAAAAAACAGGAGTGAGAGAGGTTTGAGTACCATGGAAGGTCAGAATATGCAGGGCATGTGGGAGGAAGCATGCTTCGGTGGGACAAACAACTAGGAAATGCCTGTTGTAGTTTGGGGGTACAGCAAAGATGCACAAAGATTTAGGATTTCCTTACATACAGGCAGAGGTGCTTAAGCTGGCAGTGTGCACACTTGAATGCCACTTTTAGGTTTAGAAGCACAAAAACAGCAGGGGCAGCACATATCCTAAGACGTCTGCATGAGAAGGGAGAGATCGTCTCCAGCAGACGTGAAATAGACAGTCTCTGGGGGTCAGTTCCCTGCTGCATCATGACAAGGACTGTGGGTATTCTCCCTTCCTGGGCAGGGCAAGTTGACAGAGTTCAGCCTGGGTGCAAGAAACGACTGTTTCCCCCTGATTATCCTTTAGGGCATTGGGTGTAGCTCACTTTGATGGCTGTACTACTCAGCTCTGATTTCTCCTCTTCCCTCCCCTCCTTCCCTCTGAGCAGAGTTTTGAGGGGATGGGAGGCCTGCTTCTCTCTACCCAACTGGACCAATGGACCCCTAGCCTCCAAGGAGGGCAGTCCCAGCCGCTTGGGAGAGGCTGAAACTCTTCAGCAGCACCTGTGGCTAGTAGGATCATGTCTAGTCTCCTCTACATGGCACCTAAGGCTCTAATCAACTGATCTCACATCCTTCACCTCACACCCTAACACCCAGCCAACCTCAGCAGCTGCAGGTTTACCCTAGGCACCATGCTGCCTGCACCAACAAGCCCTGAGCATGAGGTTCTCTAGGCCTGCAGGACCCTCCAATCCCAGTTCTACTCATTTTAAAAGATACTTTCAATAAGCTAACTTATATATATTGAGATGTAGTTTGCATATAATGAATGCACAGATCTTAAGGATACAGCTCGACGAGTTTTGACA